TGTTAAGTTAACCCGTGCTAATCGTCTATACAAAAACTATATAGAAACTAGAAGGTAACTATAGGAATAAAAATGTTTTATACATCTATAAACTATTAAAAATATAAAGTGACCGTAGAAGATTGGGAGAAACGGGGATAAAGGACTGTGTGCAATTAAATTAGGTTGTAAACAGATGAATGAAATGAATGAATGAATGAAAGTCACATCACAGCATGTAGCTGAGGTAGTCAGACATGGCAATGACAAAGAGTCCAGGAAGTTGTGCAGAGAGATTAGTCCATTGTCTATAGAATGGCAGACAACCCAGAAGTCCCCTGTAAGAGAATCAAGCTGCACCAGTTTGAAATGTGCCTGATTTATTTCATCTTTTTATTCTCTGGGACGTTTTCTCCTTTCTGTAGAGACATACATGTGCTGCTTAAGAGTCAGAAAAGTACACAAATACTTAGACTTAACAATATTTATTGATAAGTTATTTTACAGTGTAGCATCGTATTGTACATACAACTACAATACCGTGTTTGGCGTGATGGGAATGATAAACACAACTGATCATTCATTGCATTATGTGACCTCATCATGAATAAAAGAGTGTGAATTGAAAATGTCCAAATGACGAAACAGCACATGTGGAAAACTGATATTTACAGGATTGTTTTTCTGCCATCTTCAGCCTATTTCTTCAATTGCATGATAGAAATCTTGAAAAATAAAATAAAATAAAATAATTGCAGAATGGATTTTCCTTCTGTGGATCCCAGAGATGACTCAACAGATTTAGTTTATGAATAAGAACAAGTACAAACACACGTGACAAGGAGGGGGAATCCATGTAAACAACAAATTAATGTCCACACAAACACACAGACAGACAGACAGACAGACAGATATTTGGACAGATAAACATCTTAGGACTCTACTTTTTCTCTAAAGTGTTTCAGTGCTTCAATATTCTTATACTTCATTTGGAAAAAGGAAAATACAAAAAGGAGCAATATAAAAGCAATAATTTATTATATATAAAAATGTACAGAAAATTCCACTGCAGTACCAACTGGAAAGTGATTTCAAGCCCTACTCCTCTCCCTGCAGCCCCCTGTGGCACTTCCTTCATCTCTTTCATTGCTTCACAGCCCCTCTGTCCCTCCCCTCAGTTCGGTATGACTGAAGGGTTCACGTTCACGATCACTTGGACGACAAAGTCCTTCTGGATCTTGGTGTCCTGAAGTCGAGTCTTGTCGGTCAGGAGCTTCCCGGAGAAGAACCACCTCTGGCGAATCACATCAATTTCTTCATGCTCCTCCAGCTGTTTCTTCAGCTCGGCGATGGAGTCCGCCATGCTGGCTGTCAGACGCACATCCTTCCCTGAGAAAATCCACAAGGCAAGAAATAAGAGATGACACAGATTCCTGAACAAGCTTCGAGACACTGAAAGGCTATAAATTATAAATCAGTCTCCAGCTGAGAAGAGCTTAGATGTGATATTATATATGCATGAGGAAAACTGCACAACATGTTGTTCTTTACATTTAAATGTCATTTTCTATATACATGCATGTGACAGGTCATGGAGGGTATTTCTTACCTGACGACAATCGTACCCGCAGCTGGAACTCTTGTCTGCACGGAGGGGGCTGAGCCTGTTTTTGGGTGGATTCAGAGGTTTTGCTCTCGCTGGACGTCTCAGAGATGAGGTTGACAGGCGGGGCTAAAGTGTACGCTGGGAGCTGGTAGCGGTTTCCCAGTTCATCGTAGCTCTCTGTCAGGGAGCCTGCGGAGGGAGGAATGATCTACATCAGCAACCTGTTTCCAAAAACCTTCCAACCCCTACACATTAACCCTTTACTCTACTCAAACACCCATGTCCCTCAACCAGGAGGAGTGTGAGGCCAATACATTCCATTTACTTACAACACACTTACATCAACAACCCCAGTGTTTCTAAGCTGGTAAATAGTTAAAAGTAAAAAGCACATGATTGTGCATGAACACTCTCATGGCTCTGTGTGCACTAGTCCACTCACAGTGGTCACGCAGCACTGCGACTGTTATGTAACTACTACAGTAGTAATCTCTGAACAACTGAAGCGTGGGGATTGTGCAAAGTGTCCTTTGACATTTTCTGACTTATTAACGTACATTTCTGCTGGAGGTTCCCAAAACATTTATAACTTACACTTCACATCTGGATGAAGCACATTTCAATATCTGAGTGTGTGCGTTGGTGAGCATGTGCCTGTGGGTGTGTTCGTACCATGTGGCACAGTAATGCAGGCTCCGTCCACGATGGCCTGCGCTAGCTCCAGGTCATTGCACTCCGCAGCCAAAGCTGCAGCTCTTAGTGCGTCCCAGATCTCTTTCCGTCCATCGAAGGCCGGAGCCGTGTCCCAAAACTCATCCCTCTTACTCCTCAGCTGGCCCTCCGTCATTGGGTATTCACTCTTCCATTTTGGACGCTCCTTCTTGAGGGGCTCGTTACGTCCTTTAAAGAAAAAAAAGAAAAGAAGGTCGTGTTTAATCTGACCTGAGAACAAAAGCATGAAAGACATGCAGCAAAAGCCTCCTCAGGCCTCTGTACGTGGGGTGACCACCCAACAAGGTGAGTCACCAGGTGCCCCAACATGACGCAGCTAAAACAGCTAAAAGGGATGATAGAGCAGTGGAGCAATGAGAAACCTGCCCAGTATATCGATGGTTGATGGGTTGGCTCAGGCCTTTATCCCTTTATCGTGACCTTGGGACATGTAAATATCAGTAAATCATATCATTACTATGATGACAAAAACAAATATCCCACAATAAGATAAGCTAAAATGAATGGAATACACATTAGAAAAGATACATGTTTCAAATGTACTATAACCTGTTTAGGTGCCATACTAAAATCTTCAGGGAAAAGTCACACTTAAAAACCGGCTGTGTACATCCCCTGGCATCTGGGATATTTACAACTTCTTCATTGGCTACATGAGCTAAGTACAAGCCAATTACTACTGTGCACGGAACTGTTCTTTGCCAGACGTCAGCAGACAGACAGAGTAACCTCACACACCTACTCAAGATGTTTCCCCGGTGGCACATGCAGAAATATCCACTGTACCCATGTACCAAGAAAGTCAGTTTGGTTTACAGGGAGAGGAAAATCAAAGTGATTATTTATAGTGCTGCAGATTACTGCAGTGGCTAGTAACACATAACATGTGCACTGACATGCACACACACAAACACGCACACATACACACACTGCAGAAGATTATAGGCAGTAATCAGGTTCCACATAACAGGATTTATCTGCCCCTATCCCATAAGGCATTGGTTGGAGAGATGAGCACCCTTTGGCCAATGAAAGGCAGCGAAAACACACAAGTCTTCTACAGCAGGCACAACAACATCACAAACACAAATCCACTACACTTCGATTATTACGTCACCATAGTTTCAAATTGTGGAACTTTTCTGTGCTGCTGTCTTATCTTCACTGAAGTATAAGTTTGATTCCCATCACACAATATGCACATTTATATGATTTTCTATACTAGTGACAATGCAGGCCATCATTTAATGTTATATGTGACACTATGACCTTCACAGATGAGGCGAGTGAGGATTTGGTGTCAAGGGTAATTTTTGTACATACTTTAATCAAATTAACACTTTCAAATCAATATAATACAACAACGCATGAGTCTGGAAACAGTAAGAGTAAAAACATATTCAGTATTCCTTTTATCGATCCTATGCGAATTATAATTCAATATGATAATGAATAATCAATATTAAAATTGTATTTCTCTTGCACAAACATGGGTCCTCAGGGTTCATACCTACTTCTGTTATTGTGTATGTGCAGCTGCAAAGTTGCAATTGTGCACATGAGCATGTCAACCAAATAAATGCAAATGTATTTTTCGTCTGAAGATCCTGAAACAGACTCATCAGTTCCCCAAATCAGTAAACTTCAGTTTCAGTGAACAGCAGAACAACACACACCTGTTCCTGGTTGTAGCATATATGATATCCTTCATGTCACCTTTTGGTTCTGTGTTTTCTGGAATAAAGCGGATGTCACCAGTGATGACAACCTGGATTATATGACGATGGTTTTAACCACGTCACTGAGCCTGATTGTTTGTGTACAGTGTGGATGCACAAGGTCAACTTTGCCATGTGTCTTGAGCTGTGAGCCATATGTACCTGGAATCTGAGCTTAGCAATTTCCACTGAAGTCAGTGGCTCAAGCTTTTTTTCTCTGTTAACTTTAACAATTCAATTTTAGGAAAAACTAAATCTGTATCTCAAAAGGAACTGAAACATGTAAATGAAAGGATTATTATTGGGCTGGTGCACCCATTAATGTTGCAACATTTCTATATGCAAATTTAAAAGCTGTCGTTGTAATGTTCTGCACTGCACTGTTTCCAACCTATGATACTGGAAAACAAATATTGAAATATTGATATATATACAAGCAAGTAAGTCCTGTATCGCCTTTAGAACCATAACAGCATTTTTAAACAGATTTTTAATCCATCAAAGTTATGAAAACTTTCATGAAAGTTTAAAGAGGCAGCACTTTCACATAATTCTGTATATTATTTCATAAAGAAAAGCTATTAACCACAAATTATTTTATAAAATGATGTAAAAATCTATGAAAAACATAGTACAATAGTAACAACGGCACTGACGATCTTGAACTCTACACAAAACCCTCTGAGACAACACATGGCACAACAAAGAGAGCTGCACGAACATGAAAACAGAAAACGTGAAAGTATTTCTCTCACCGCAGACAAAAAGATCTATACTTACTTTTCAACAAAATCTTAAAGGGTGTATTTGGAGCATGGTAGTAGTTGTATTCTCTGGAGTTTGGAACTCCCATAGCTGCTCTTTCTGAGGTTCGAGTCCGAGTAGAACTACTGCACATCAAAAGTCTGCAATAATGAGCTACAGAGCCTGATGAGGAAGAGCACAACACCAGCTGTCTGCAACCAGCTTGCTCTGCAGACACGCCATGCTGTTGACGAGACAACTCCGCCTGATCTCTTTTGCCGCTGCTTTGCAGATTTAAAGCTCAGCTAATGGTCGTGCCACTCGCCCAGTTGACTAAAAATGACCACTATCCATCCAGTTATAACCATTCTAATAACCATCAGCCCCAAACATACCACAGGAGCGGCTCATGGAAAGAGGTACAGTTAATGGGGGAGAGTAATTTGAGTGTCCTGGCCAGAAGCAGCTTTAATCCTATCAACTCTATTTAGAGGCAGGATAGAAATACCCAAAGGCAACATGTTAAACCTATTAACAGACAATAAACCCTTGACAAACTCTTATGGTGTGTTTGAAGGAGAATCTACGGTACTGTGACCTCTCGTGCAACAGGTGACGTATTCCATGTGAATACATGCCAATAAATCTTTTCAGAGGTTGCATCAGCAGAGCAAGTAGTTAGGCCGTTTGTTAAAAGAGGTTTTGTGTGTTTGCATCTCACAAAAGTACAAGTGGCGAGACGTGATCTGAGAGGTGAGATACATCATCTCTTTCTGCACCAAGTGCGTGAAATTCTGATATGAAATCGCCCTGTGCAGTCCCCTGTTTAAACACCGTGCTTATCAGTGCAAGTTCCTCAGCACAGATTAGACACATGACTAAGCCGTGGCGACTGAGATGTTTGAGCACCTGAGTCAGTAAGCCTGCAGACTGAGGCAGACGCTGCAGCGCAGAGGTGCAGCTACAGGAATCATTTTATCATGAAACGTTTGGATCTCTTAGGTTGCGTCTTGTTGCCGACCTGGCCGGTGCTAAGTGAGCTAACCAGTTGCATAAATAGTTGTGGCAGTGCATCCTGAAATCATTTTTGTGAGACTGCTGTGTCACAGAAGCAATTTTCATTTGACGGTAATGGAATAATGTTTCAATGTAACAGTGCAAGGCCTGCAAAAATTGAGACACAGGCTGAGGGGGGAGTACAGAGGGTCATCCACCAACCAGAAGGTCGTTGGTTTGATGCCCATGACCTTCAGTCTGTAAAATCCTTGGGCAAGACACTGATCCCCTGGCCGTGCCGACAGTGTATAAATAGTGTCCAATAGAAAGTGGTGTGTGTTGGCTGAATATCACCTGTACTGTAAAGTGCATGGAGTGGTCTAAGACTGGAAAGCCACCATCTAAATACAGTTACTACATACATTTACCATGTTGACTGACTTCTAACAGCAGCCTCTGCAAAAGTCAAAGAGATGAAGGGCATCATCTCTGAAACTTGAAGCAGATCTCTTGTGCCTTCACTAAAATATGTGCATGTGAACATGGAGTCACTTCAACAGCTGAGAGGCTGCAGCACATCACATCCTCACCTCCACGTTTTTTGCTCCTCGTGGAGCTCCGGGCACTCCCTGGTCCATCCGTCCTACTCCTCCCCACACAGCCTCCCATCACTGCCCCTACATCACCACAGCGAGGAGACAATAGAAAACATCAGCGTCTGCATCACATTCTCCAACTAACACGTTGTTCAAAGTGCATGTGTGATGATAATGATGGTGTGAAAAGCATGATGGGGGAATAATGACAGCTCAGCACTCCTTGTTCCTGTGAGGTCAGACGAGCCGCGATGTTTACGTCACGTGTACTGCCAGCTGACACGAGCCTGAGCCACTGCCAGCCTTTCTCTAATGTCAACCACGTTAACGCAACATGACACTTTATCAGTCATCATCTCAAATACACACATTCACATCAGATTTCAATGATCTCTCTTCATGCATATTTAAGAAATGTGTTTGCTCTCGAGCCATACCAGAAATCCAGTGCGCTAAATTATGCATCCGTCTGCAGTTTGCCTGCCACATCCGAACTTGCTTCCAGAGTGAAGTTGAATCTCTGGATCCTGACGCGACGATCAGCGGAGAGAGTCAGCAGCGGGTTGACAGGGGATCAGTGTGTGTGTGTGTGTGTGTGCGTGTGTGTGTGTGTGTGTGTGTGTGTGTGTGTGCCTCCAGCAGATCTCAACTGTTTCTCATCAAAAAAATAAATAAATAAAAAAACTGAGATCAATATCCAGATTCACCCCGAACCATGATGAACGAGACCTCACGCGCACGGACCCGTTCACACCGAGGCTGGAATTAAAGCCTCTTCAGTCCGCACGCATGCGCAGTTCAGATAAATAAGAGCAGGCGCTGAGAAAGGACTCCTTCACAATAAGAGGGCTGCTTGTGTTTAATTAAACAGTTTGTAAAAAAAAGGCAGAAGTACATATTGTTAGAAAATATCATTAGATGTGATAAAACTTGGTTAAAAACTACGTAAGAGGAATAAATGTTTGTGGTTCTGAACGAGGGTTTTAGTTTGAAATACAGGGCGGAAGTTGTTCTTATGGTCACTTTTGTTATCTAATTAATATTAACAATAATAATACCAATACGAATGGTCGTATATATACTCAGTAAACAGTATTATTATTATTATTATTT